TCCCTTCTCCTCCATTCTCCTCTTGGGATCTTGGGTACGCACGCACGCGCACCCAGCATGAGTTTTAAGCCAACGGGTCCAGGACGCGAACCATGGTCGACTACGTGGGAGTCCAGCGACATAGCCATTACGCTAACTGCTGGTTCCCTATCCTGCTGTTTTTTGAGAAATATATCTATATGATTCTTCATTTCCAGATATGAGGACTAGGTTTGCTTTTTGAATGAGCAGGGGAATTGTGTTCTTATTAGAATTTTGGTTAATCATGAGCTTCTAATTCACAATAATGATTTAAATAACTGTGAAAAGATGAACAAGTTTCAAATATTACTAAACAAGGATTGTTTATTCCACTATGAAGATAAAATTATAGAAAGGTTTTGTACAGTCTTAATTTTAAATTCTCTTACTAGTTCTATCTCTCAAAGCTACTATGATATTGTCTTTACTTAGGAACCAGTCTTTCTTTTTATTGGGGGGGAGGTTCTTCTTTGCTATAGGGTTCATGTACTCACCAGAAAGACAGAGAGAGATGGAGAGACAGAAAGTGAGAAATGACCCCCAGGGGAGATGACCACGCCACAGTCCCTTCTCCTCCATTCTCCTATTTTCCTCTCGGGATGTTGGGCATGCACTCACATGCACTTGGTGTGAGTTTAAGCCACCAGGTCCAGGACTTGAACCACAGTCAACTACATGGAAGTCCAGCGATGTAGCTATTACTCCATCTGCTGGTCCCAGGAACCAGCCTTTCTTTCTTTTTTTTTTAATCTCTTTTTTTTTTTTTGGAGAGGTTTTTGCTATAGGGCGCATGCGCTCGCCAGACAGACAGAGAGAGACATAGAGACAGAAAGCGAGAAATCACCCCCCAGGGGGGATGGTCACGCCGCAATCCCTTCTCCTCCATTCTCCTCTCGGGATCTTTGGCATGCACGCACACGCGCCTGGCGTGAGTTTTAAGCCACCGGGTCCAGGAGTCCAGTGACATAGCCATTACGCTAACTGCTGGTCCCTCTGGCAAAAAACTTTAAAAGGGGGGGAGGGGTTGTTCTGGAGTCATAAAACTTGGGATCAAATAAACATTTTAAGAAATACTACACATTATTCACAAGATATGGAATCAACTTTGTATCTATCAATGAACGAATAGATACAGGAAATATGGTATTTATATAGAATACTGCTCAGCATTTAAAAAGAAGAAAACCCTATCATTTGTGACAACATGGATAGACTCAGAGAACATTATGCAAAGTGAAATAAGTTAGGCACAGAAAGACAAATACCACATGACCTCACCTATAACATGGACTCTAAGAAAGATTAATCCACAGTAGCAGGGGCTAGGGTGGAAGATGGAATTAGGAGGTTTTGGGGGTTTCTTCCATAGGGGCTGTACACTCATCATTGAGAGAGAATGAGAGGGAAAGTGAGAAATCACCCCCAGGGGATGCCACACACACAATCCCACACCTCCATTCTCCTGGGATTTTGGGCATGCAGGTACACCTGCCAGACATGGTTTTCAAGACCCCAGGTCTAGCACTTGAACCATAGTCAGCCATGTGGGGGTCCAGTGCCTTAACCACTATGACTCTGCTGGCCCCTAGAAATGTTTTTAAAGTACACAAAATTTCAGTTTACCAAGAGGCATACTTTCAAGAAATCTACTGTATAACATGGTAGCTATAGTTTATAACAATGTATTGTATATTTAAAAATTGTGGAGAGTAGATTTTAATTGTTTACTACAAAACATTAGTTTTTGAGGTAATGCATATATATAATACTTTACTTAGCTCAATTTATCCATTCTGAAATGTATACATATTTCTAAACATCCTGTTATGTATCATAAATATGTACAGTTCTTATTTTTCACTTAAAAAATCCTTTTAAAAAATGCTCATACTGTTTGTCATGGACATAGATACACAGTGCATATCAGCATATTAAAAACACTGAGAAGTCCTACAGCAAAGATATTCAGTGGATTTGGTTTAACTAAGCATTTATTTAACCACAGACTTTATTTTAACCATAATATTGTCTGGAATCAGTACTCTATACAGAGCCCTTTGGAAAATACTTCTATAATCAAAATCTCCCAAGTCTCTTCAAACCAAGATTTTTCTAAGATTTTTTTAAGCCATGTGAACTTCTGGAAGTACACTTGCTCTGAGTCAAAAGATCAAGAAATTATATTTTCATTTAGATTTCTTTTTCTTTTTCTTTTTTTTTTAAAGAGGTTTTTGCTATAGGGCGCGTGCACTCTCCAGAAAGACAGAGAGAGATAGAGAGTTAGAAAGCAAGAAATCACCCCCCAGGGGGGATGGCCACACCACAATCTCTTCTCCTCCATTCTCATCTCGGGATCTTGGGCACGCACGCATATGCGCCTGGCGTGAGTTTAAGTCACCGGGTCCAGGACTCGAACTGCGGTCGACTCTATGGGAGTTCAGTGACATAGCCATTATGCTAACTGCTGGTCCCTAGATTTCTTATCTCTAGACATTCATCTGTATGTCCAAGGGAATAAACAGCTCAGTCAAGAATGGTCTGCATGTCCAGTCACGGTGGCACAAACAGTGGGGTGCAGCTGAGGGTTGTTGGAGCCATGTGGGAAGCCTGGGTTCAGTTCCCAGACCAACTTAAGACAGGCCAGGTGCAGAAGCATGTGCCCCTCATTCTAGCTAAATAGGGAGGCTTTTGCAGGTGGATTGCGACATGCTAAGACCCTATTAAAAAAAAATCTCTCTTTCAAAAACAAAATAAAAAGAATGGCTTGTAATACTTCATACTTTCAAGTGAAATTGATGGTGCCTGCAACCTTAGCTTCTGTTCTTCTTTACAAAATTTGTATCCATTAATTGCCTCTTATTTGTTAATTTTTCAGGGGGACACTATTTAACCTCTTGGTAATTTTAATTAGCAAGCCTCAGATTCCAAAACCTTGTCCCATGTTTGATATCCAGTTGATGGCTGATTCAACTTTAGTTGAAATGTCTTTTGATGCTGAGGTAAGAGAAAAATGTTGGAGGTAGAGTAAATATAATATAAAGGGTCTCTGGCTTCTTGTCTTTTAATGTGGACCGACACATTGCAAAGTACAGAAATTTGTAATTAATTCAAAGAGTAGATGTTCTGCCATTAACTTCAAGTCTTAATGAGCTATTCTGTATGTATTTCCATTTTCTATGTTTTAAGGTATGCATTTGAAGGAAAATTATTAGCATTCTTCTAATAAAAATTAGATATATCTATTTATCGCCCCTTTAAGAAATATTGACATATATATAGCTATCTATGAAGGGCCTAATGAGTGAAAAAAGTCACTACCTTCAAGATTCTAGGCTTAACTCTCCTACTTTAATTTACCAGCTCCCTACCTACATGAGCAACGCAAACTCTTAAAGAGTTACTTGTTTTTCTAAGGTTATACTAAAACATTATAAATATCAAACTGCGTGGAAAGCATATATTCTGAGAGAGTAAATCGGTTTACTATTAGTTTATTCTGAGCCAGGCCAATAGAGAATTTTTTTAAGGGTGGGAAATAATTTATAGTTCTTTAAAATTAAAAAAAAAAACAAAACAGATTTTTTTTTGAGAGATTTTTGCTATAGGGCACGTGCGCTTGCCAGAAAGACAGAGAGAGACAGAAAGCGAGGAGTCCAGCGACATAGCCATTACGCCAACTGCTGGTCCCTTAAGACAGACTTTTTGCTATAGGTTGCGTGCATTTGCTGGAGAGACAGAGAGACAGAGAGACAGAAAGCAAGAAATCATCCCCTGGGAGGGATGGCTATGCCACAGTCCCTTCTCCATTCTTCTCTCAGGATTTTGGGCACGCATGCACTCACCCGATGTGACCTTTTTTTTTTTTTTTTTTTTTTTTTTTCTTTAGGGCTTGCCCCTTTGC